TTGTTGTAATACAATCTGCTGTATATAGCGAGTTGCTCTTTGATTTCATCCATTGTCATATCCTCAGGGCTTTTACTCATATTATACTATACTATATATTATTTTTTATCTTTAGACATATTTCTATATATTAAAAAAACATTTAGTATTTTAAAAAATCCTTGGAAAATTTATACTTAAAAAGAAAATAAATATATAGTTTAATTATATTAGTATATGTCCAAAGCCGTTAAGCGCAACACGGAAGCACTACAAACACTTTATAACAACAGAAGAAACCGCATCAGCCAAGCCACCAGAACAAAAGTTCAAAATATAATTAACTTATATTCAGATCGTAAGATCGCCCAATTCACCACAGCAGACAATTTAATCAGGAAACTCACCACCGCAACAACAGACAAAGAAAAAACTAAAGCGGAAAAAGAATATGATAAAATATACGACAAGCACAAGGATAAAGAACAATTAGGTCAGAGAATGTCACAAGCCAAAGAAGACAACAAACGAACGGGAAGAACCAACCCAAGAAAACCAAGAAAATATTCAATCAATGTCCATTTATACCAATTGAAGACTGAATCACACCAAGGATTATCAGTATCCTTCAGAGACAGTAGGGGTAGGGCATACGTTCCTATCTATATGCGTGATCTATCAGCCAATGTAGCCACAACACCGTGGGTAGAAAACTTGACGAGGAGACGAATATTTAGAGACGAGAAGCCCGACACAAAAACATTTCATAGGCTCAAGATGTTGTTAATGACAGATGACAGTTTTAAAGCAGATGTCGGTTTTGCCGAAGGTTACATTGCTTGTATTAAAGTTAATTACGCCGAAAGGGTAGATAACGCCGATGCTTTCAAGCCACGAGATGAAGATCTAACTAACACAGAGAATGTCAGTATGTATCACAGATATATTCAGACACCACTAGATCCACAGTATGAGACCTTCAAGGAAGCCGTTAAAGTAGAACACTACGTTAAGAACGGGTGTTGGTTTAACACCTTGACTGATTATTATAAGGATACCCTTATGGGAGACAAGAAGAGAGAGAAGAACAAACTAACAAAAGAAGCCATCCTAAAGATCATAAATAAGACGGAAGAAGATTTTAAAACAAACGGGGCGTCTATAACAGATATGGCGAAGGTGTTTGAACATTTTAACTTGTTGAAAAACCATCCACTATCAGGGCAATATGGAACATATTATCATACTTGTTTTTCTTCATATATTGAACGACTTTTTCTTGTGTGTTAATAACTCTATCCATATCTTTTGGGTCATAGTAATCAAAATACATAGGGTCTTTATCTGTATGTTCTTGCTTCATTTCTTTTTCTATATAATTCCTTACAGCATTCCAATTATCATCCAAAAATATTGTGGGCGACCATATAGATATTTTCTCAAAGCAACCACGATAGACATCTAATATTAAATTCGTTAATACAATTGTTTTACCAGTTCCAGACGGGCCTAATAGCAACTGACGCGCAGGTAATTTACCTACATGTTCATATTTTGACTGCTTACTTTTATATTCTTTGGTTTTGTATGGTTGTATTTCAGGGACGTTACTCATAATTATTAATACATAGAAATTATATGATTTAAAATATATAATGGAAACATCATATCAGGATTATATTGATACAATAAATGAAGTTGAGAAAATAGAAGAAGTGGTAATAACAGATAATAAAATTAAAAAGTGTTGTAATAGTTCGTTGGAAGTTCTAAAATGTATTCTTTACTATTTTAAGAATTCTAAAAAATCTAAGAAAGGTTAATGAGCGATACCACTGAAAACAATGAAGATAATAAAGGGTTTCACATTGATAAGAAGGGCTTTCACTGCATACCTTGCCGATGCAAGAGACAGCTATACCATAAGGAGACTAAAACAGTCAAGGAAAATGATAAGGTAACAACCAACATTGTTATTGATAAAAGTAATATCAAATTTGGCGGTAGGAATGTTTCACCTGATGAAATCTTTAAAACTGATGAGGTGGATCAAACAGGATCGGTTGAAATCTGCGACACAGGATGGAACAGAGGAAGTCAGATAACACCCGAGGAGTTAGAAGAGCGCATTGATAAGTTAGAAACAGAGGTTGAACGGATAGACGAGGATGTAACTATTTTGAAGAATAATTTAAATATTATGGATTAAAATCTCCTGTATAAATGACAGGCCATCTTGGCATAAAAAAGCCCCAATGAAAACAGAAGAAGGAAGTGAGCCAATGCCCCCGTGTGCCTAGCAAGTTCTACAGGTTCATAGGCAAACCAGAAGAGTTTGGTAATGACATTAATTCATAATTAGTTTCGTTAAATCTTAAGGAACCAGTGCAAATTTTCATAATATCGCATTATGAAAAAGTGTATATAATAATAATAATGCCATTAAGAATAGATAAGATATTAGTTGATTTTGAACCATATACTGAAACAAATAACATTGTTACTAGGAAGTGTTATCGTTGTAAGCAAGTCAAAGACGTTGATTGTTTTAAGCGTTGCTATTACGCTGGTAAGCATTCTTATTATATTGTTAAATACATTGCGACTTGTTCTGAATGCTTAGATAGAAGCAGTTTAAAGGGATAGTGTTATTAATATTAGGAAGATGGAGACAATCAAATGCACAAGATGCCACAGCAAAAAAACTACAGAAGAGTTCGGGCACAATAGATCGGGGCAACCTTGGCGCAATTGTATTAAATGCAGAGAGAAGAGAAAAGAATACAAGAAAACTAAGATTGAGGATAAGAAGCCTGAAGTTGATGATGTTTTTGATCATGTGTGGCAGTTGTTAATGAATGATCTGTTTTTGGAGAACTACTTTATGATATTCGGAAAGCACAAGGATAGAGTAATTGTTGAGATACCTGTTGATGACAAACCGAAATAACCAAAGTAATTCTTCTTATACAATAATATTATAGTGTAATTATAATACATAAGCAGTTACATATTATAATTACAATGTAGTTAAAACCCTTAACCCTAAACCCTGAACCAAATTCTACGAGAACCCCCTTGCCTATTTAGGCAAATAATGCCACCTTAGAGAAAATAGATGGGGTTATGGTTATTCCTATACTTGTAGTGATAATGGGGTAGTAGTCGTGATATATCGGTGAAGTATGGGGGGGACCCTAGGAATGATCATCTAATGGGCGAAGTAGTAGTGATATATCGGTGAAGTGTAGGGGGGACCCTGGGAATGATAATCTAATGGGTTGGCGGTGGCATTATTAGCCTAAATAGGCAAAGTATACTCTAACTGTCTAGGGCTTGGTCCGGGCAGCGATACAAGGCTTTCGAGCTTTCACATAGTCGATCCCCTCTTGCAATGAAGCAGTTGGGCGGTTCCGTGCCACGCATGTTTTGCAATGCCCTGACATCTCTTTGATTTGCCCGGGTGTCTGATCACTGTCCGCTGGCAGCAGGAAACCCAAAACCCTCTGTGACTAAGGGAGTGATAGCACGAGTTCGTAAGTGAGCCAGCGCAAGTGAACAGACGGGATGATCCCCATGAGGTGTCCTATTGCCTGTCTCGCTAGCATACCTGTGCTAGCACGTTCTGTGCCTGCTGCGTGCGTTCTCGTGACTGACATGCGGAGATAGCACTTTTGCAGCTCTTCAGCTCGCACCGTTCGCCTTTTGAAAAAACTGGCATAAATGGCAAAGTGTGGTGTGTAGCAAGTTTCAACCTATTTACTGAGATCGTATTCCACTCCTCCAGCAAGCGCGCGAGGGAACATGACGCCGGAGCCTCTGGAATGTGTAGGCGGTTCTGTGCCACTCATGTTTGGATACACGCTGCGACACCAGGCTAGTGGTCTCCGCAGATGCGAGAGAAGCTGACAAGGCCACTATTCATGTGTTGTTCTGCTGCAGGCGCAGTAGCTAAGCCGTGAACAGTAACGGGCCATGTTCCTGTTCGTCAAACTCGAGCTATGCTCATTGCCGCGGAGGCTCAGCGAGAGCTCGCAGAAAAGCGCAAGGCCATGGAAGAAGGAAAGAGGCCGGCTGGAGTTGCAGATGTTGGGAGTGTGCTACTTCGATCTCACGTTTATGCATCGGTCGGCTCACACTATGGACTAGGGAACGGCAGGTGGCGAGCACAGACGCGTAGTGCCATAATCCGGACACGAGCGGAGAAGAGACGTGAGGAGTTGAACCTCCTTAACACCTCTAGTGTTTCCCAGATGTTCTTCGCAAGGATCCTCGTTTGAGCCATGGCTACCTTGGGCTTCGGCCCTACGGAAGCCCTGGCCGCCTCAGGGGCACCCAGCCGCTGGCTGCGCGCTCGGCAAAAGATCCATTTGGCCAAGGCGCGCCCAAACAAAAATGCGCCTTTTTGTGGCAACTCGCCGGAGGTGCCACAAAATCGTCCCAGTCGCATGAACCTAGGGCCTCCCTCCTGCAGGACTTCTACAAGACGCCAGCGGAGGAGCGGCAGCTTGAAAGCCTCAATGCAGACACCGGGCTGCAACCGGAAGAAGCTCCTCGTATCTTCTAGTGTTGCCACCGGCATTGGCCATGCCAACATTTTGCAGAAGCCAAGGTGCTGTGCAGCAAAGGGGAAGTCGATGACCGAGTCAAGGCGGCAGAGTCTTTAGCATCTCTGGCTCGCGGCGACCGCATGGCTCGGGCCTTGGGCTGCGGACTTTCACTCTGGCTGTGGAGTCTTAACCTGACAGCAACTTTTCTCCGAGTTCTACGGAGCGCTTTCTGGAATGCACTTCTCTTCAGGCCTATGCCATTTCCGAGAACCTGGGCCCTTTGTTGCAATGATGCTTGGCTCACGACCCACTCGGTATGATCATCAAACAAAGCTGGATGGAAAATTTCAGAACGTCACCTTCAGCAAAAAGTAGAAGGTATCGAATTGAGGCCGCAGACTCGCTTTGAGCAGACATGTCAAATTAGAATCGCAGCATTGCAAAGGCGTACCATATGTGCCAAAGTTGATCCTGCAGGCATATTCACCACTCCTGTACCCAAGGCGGAATCGTGAATGGCACTGCAAATCTAAGGGGGGGTTTCCGAAAATAGGGGACCCTAATAAAGCACCCTAAATAGTAGGATCCTTATTATAAGGACCCATAAATAAGGTACCCCCTATTTTCGGAAACTCCCAAGGAGAGGGCTGCTAGCTCCAGAAGCCGATTGAGCATCCAACTTTGTCGTTTAAAGGAGATGCGACCCACCAGACAGCGCTCAAAACCCAAACAGGATTCGAACGTTTATTAGCCCGAACGGAAGGGTCACTTCCGATTTAAGTTGCGAACAGACCTCAGATCAATCATAAAGGTACAGGGCGTGCATGGTTTGTCTGCGGTTGCCCCATGCAGGGATTTGCGACTTTTGAGAAGAGGCTGTCGGCCTACCCAATCCCACTGACGACCTTGTTTCTCGTTCTAAGGCTTGAAGACGAAAGAAGCTCCTCAGCTAAAGCTGGCGGTCCTTGGCACTCTACGAGTGCTGGCCGAACGAGAGCAAGCGGCGGCCGTGGCACGGCATTGCTATGCCCTGCTGCCATGCCTGAGGGATGAGGACATCTTGGTGCAGCGGAAAGTTTCATCTTTGTACCGCGTATTGGCAGATGAGGGCCAAGCTGGTGTGGTTGCCCGAGATGTGGCCAGCATCATGCACTGCTTTGAGGCCACGCAGGCCGTTAATGCCTCACTGATGGCACCGCTGGATGCATTGGCAGCTATCGCTTCAGCCGGCGAAGCACAGGCTGTTGCTCGAGTGGTGGAACGCTTATTGGCTGCCCTTCGTGACACTCGTCCAAAGATCCGTGCGACCACATGCAAGACGTTGGCGGCTATCGCTCGAGGTGGTGCAAAGGATCTACTTGGACATCTGGGTCTCATCGACACCGAGATTGCAGAATCGTGCATCTCGGGCGTGTCGTGGCATTGATTGCGAACGCGTAAAGAGTCTAAGATATTGACCGGTGGGCCTGTTGTAACATTCTAGCTTGATACACAGCTCCAGCTGAAGTAAGGCGAGCATTAGCACACTCGAGAGTTCATGTGAACCATGGTAGAGTGTGTGCAACCTTTTCACGCACACCACAAGAACTTCAATCACGGCTACGGAGAAAGGCGAAGCAGCGCACAGGAAAGGTGGAGGTCCCAGAAGCATGGCCAATCATGAAGGCAGGCAAGCAACTGTAGCATCGTCTTCTTAAGACTCTGCCCATGATAACTCACAAGCTGTAACGACTTCGCCACTACACCATAAGCTCCAAATTCGCAGGCCGTCCATCTGGGAGGTAAGGTTTCTCACCGTGTTGTCTTGGTGATGCGTGGACACTTGATAGTAGCTCATACTACCACCAACGTGGCTGAAAGGTCTGGACTGCCGAGCCCCCGTCAGTTTCGAGCCAGTGAAGAACCGGTAGGGATCTAGCGAGGTTGGAAAGAAGCAAGAAGCCCTGTTTGCCGCCGGCCTCGGCCATCCGGGAGGAATTCGAAGCTTGAGGCTTCTGCCCTTTTTGTCAGGTGACGCTCTTCGAGATGCTGGCTCTGCTCTCCCTGGACGACGCCGATGCTGACGTCCGCTTAGCAGCTGCCGATGCACTGCGGTGCCTGCCTGAAGCTGAGCCCTGCGAGGAGACTGCGCACGAGAGGCTCCTCAACTTCTTGGCACCTATCATGTTTGATCACTTAGTTGACAACTTCGTCTGATGTCTTATCAGGCTGCATGCAGGAAGCAAGCTATAACTCGAGCGCACAGCCTGGAAGCTATAGAAAGGAGGTCTTGAAAGAACAAGCAAAGTGCGCAGAGATTTCGCAAAGCAATTGCACAGGGCAAGTAGTGGTTGCGTCGGTAGCGTGTGATCGTCTAGTTGTTGAGCATAGTGCTCCTTGCGACGGCTGTCAGAATCCGTAGAGCGAACGTCGTTCAATATACAGAAACATGCAGAAAGTCAGCGGCAGTAGGGTCACAGGAGTATATTCACGGCCGGAAGGACTGTCGTTGGAACCGGTGCACTCGCAAGAGACTCGACACAGCTAAGGCGCAATCGCTACCCTGCGTTGGTCAACCGGCTGCAAAGGCCTATGTTTCAGATAACACGGTCTCAATTTAGTCAGGTATATGTCACACTTGCACTTTTGAGTCCGAAAAAAGGCACCGTGGCGTCGTTTGATTCTTTACCATGTCCATGGTCTCGTCCGTTTGAGATCAGCGAGCAGAGGCCCTGGTAAAGTTTGTGTTGCCAGAGCCTGTTGTTTTGTCCGACGGGTCACTCCGCTGGGATGTCGAACCCCACATACCACAGGAAAACCAAGGCTTTGCACTTTCGGCTGCAGGGCATTGCGGTTTTGGGCAAAGTGCTTTAGACCGGGGGGTTTAGGGTCGTGCGCAGGGCTTCAGGCTTACACTTAAAGGTTGCGCTTTTGCTGGAGACATCTTGGAGCTTTTGGCTGTTTTGTTCGACGACCTCCGTCGCACCATGTAGCACGCGTAGTAAGCAGGATCAAGTAGGAGTATGTTCAGAGTCGTCGTCGTCGTCGTCGTCGTCGTCGTAGTAGTAGTAGTAGTAGTAGTAGTAGTGCTTGTTGTTGTTGCTGTCGTAGCAGCAGTAGTGGCAAGAGCACGGCAGCAGTAACAGCAGTAGCAGAGGACAGTGGTATGAGATTGATGTGCGAAAAATTGCCGTCATGACATGAACATGGCAGAAGTATTCACAACGAGAAAGTTCACGCAAGGTAAAAGAATTAGCTTATAGAAAAAGCTATGCTTCTGTGCATTTTGGGTTCAGCCTCTGCTTGACCTTGCGTCCAACACTGCAGGTGGGCGGGGACTCAGACTGGAGAAGTGCAGAGCATCCTTTTGTCGGTTTTCTACCTTTCCAACGAAATGGAGGCATTCGGTATCTGAAAAAAATATCATGGCGTCCCTAAACCCTAAACCTGTAGATCAGCTCACGTTCGTTGTGTTTGGAAGTTTCTTTTTGACCCCCTGGCAGGCCTGCGTAATCTGTCAGGAGCCACTTCACTTGGCCGGCGGCCCCCAGACCTTGCCGTGCGGGCATGTCTTTCACCGCCGGTGTGTGGCGCCCCGGCAGCACTGGGGTTTAGGGTTTAGGGGCTTAGGGTTCAGGGTTTAGGGTTTAGGTAGACATCGCGTTAACAGATCTTGGGTTCCACACCTGGTGGTAGATCGATCTAAGCATGCAGACAGACTGGGAAGTAGTCTATTGCCTCAGGAAGATTGGTACAACTTCACGACGAAGTGCGGCCGGATCCCGAACTGTCCTTTGTGTCGTACAAAGATGCCCCTTATCGCATTGCGTGACCCACCACAAATTCCTTCCGTTCCCAGATGATATCAGATGATTAATTCTCGCAACATCGTAGTGGTAGCTTCGCATCTCTTGAAGAGATGCCTCTTCAAACGTAGCCTTAGGAGTTTTTGGAGCTGGCTCTGCAGAGCAGACTCATGCTCACTGTATGGTACTCGCATGCGCATGCGAACACCGACATTCTAACACTTTCCTCTTATGATATTTCCTGGCACGTTGATTGGCCCTCCTGTGAGGGAAGTCAGGCAGCCTTACATAGTCAGATCAGCTGTGCCAGCACGCGTTGACCACGAGCATGTACAGCTGATGCGCGAGCAACCGGAGCAGAATCACAAATCCAGGGCCAACTGACATGCGCCGGCTGTGTTGGTGTGTTTTGAGCACTGTTTGCGCATACCACCAGGCATATGCTGGCAAAGCTTACAAAGCAGATGCAGTTGTGCCTGGCCAAGCTACAGCGCCTTGTCTTGACTTTTCGCAGGCAGACAAGATAGGAGCTTCTGTAGAGTGTTGGACAAGGAATCCAGACTTGGACGACAATGCGAAGGAGACTGGACCAGCGTCAACAGAAGTACTGGTGTTCAAGTAGTAGTGCTTGTAATGTCACACAGGTTGCGAGACAGCGCTGGCCACTTGCCAGGAGAAGTACCAAGACATGATCACCTCGCTGAAAACAAACATGTCCAAATTAGGAAATGTGTAGATCCCTTACAGAGCTTGGCCTGGGAAGACGGCCTTTGTCTGATGAATCTCACACAAATAAGGGCGTTGAGTTCGCTAGTCCCTAAGCATTGTTGCATCGATGTTGTAGAGTGAGGAACCAGACGAAGGCAGAGGATCAGCTCACTGGGGCCTAAGCTTGCAAGGTTTACGATTAATGGGTTTCGGTGTGCAGGTCAAGGGCTTAAAAATCCGGGTGGCCGCCCCGCTTCGGTTTTGCGGCGCTGGATTGAACTGCAGTTGCATAGCAATCTTAACAGAAGCTTGTGCTCCGCCACAACACTGAAGCACAATGTACAAATCTGTACAAACCCCATTCTCATACAACAGCTGACAGTTTCAAAGCGCATCGTCATGAAAGCTGATGCTTTGAGCTGCGCGGTGGACTGCAACATGTCGCTGCTCACCGGAATGCACCACTGGAGTTGGAAGACGCTCATCTCAAGCATGTTGCTTTCTTAGTTCCTGAAAGAGAAGTGGCAGAAAGCCATGGCACAGGCTAGAAAGGGAGGGTGGGTTGACCTAGATGTGTAGAGTGGTTTTACTCGATCCGCTTGTGACTCCGAAGTGCCAGGTGTCAGAGTCCCTGAAGACTCAATCGCCTGGAACCTACTGTACCTTAAGAACCCAAAACCCACTTTTTTTGTAGGTTCTTGTTATAAACCCGAATATGGGATTTATAGGGACCCTACAAAAAAGGAGGTTTTGGGTTCTTAAGGTAAGTATTTTAGATGTTGTCAGGGGCGTGTTGTGTTCTCGGGATCTTGTGAAGAGCGCATGTGGAGATGGCAGGTGTCAGACCGATGATGTTGCCCTGGTTTCGCACTACCCGGCGAATCTGCTGTTCGCTCAGGCACGTATTCTACTAATACTAGAGTTACTAGTAGTGAGGAGCAGCGGGTCGCAAGCACTCTAATCCCAAACCCTGACAGGAGTGGTCTGTACTCCGACACTCCCTTTGGCCCAAACCTTGATTTCCCTGGCAAGCCTTGCGCAGGAGTTCCCTCTTACGCGAGTAGCTTGCCTGTGTAGCTGCAGCAGTCAGGACTGAAGAGTGGCTTGTAGCAAGGTGAGGAAGGAGCATGGTAGACACAAGCCAAAGCAGCAGCAAAGCCAGCACGTGGAATCCCGAATGCGCAGTGCTAGTTGCGAGTCGGGTTGAAGGGTGGTCTTCCGACAGACATGTCCTTCCAGAGCTTCTTTGTTGAACATGTACCGTGATTCGCAATCCTGACGCAGCTGGCAGGGTATGTTGAATACCACGTTGCTACAGCTGCAGCAGCCGCCTGCTCAACTCGGTGCGGTGTCCATATCGTAGCAACACAAGCTCCTTTCATCATCCGAGGGTAGAGCGGCAGATATCTCGCCTGCACGAGTATGTCCTCGAGCACAGGCAAGCCGTCAGATTTGCAGAAAGAAAGCACTGAATGCCGAACCCGAAAGGCGACTGGAGGCTTGCGACAAGGAAGTCCGCCGCGGATGCTTCGGCATAAGCAGCGAGGCTGAGGCCAAGCAGAGAGCATACACAGGTGACAGTTCGTGTCAGTGTTGGGTTTTGTTTTGCAGAGCTTTGCAGCAGCACGCCTCCATGCAGGCAGTCGTCGCCGTGCCCTGGCGGCATCGGATCATCGAGCTTCGTAGAGTTATCCTCCCGCGTGCTTTCGTGAAAACCACCAGCCGGGAGGCAGCCAGTGCTTTGTCTGCATACGCCGAGGCACGACGTTCAGGTAGTTCTTCGTTGCAGCACGAGTCTTGCATGTGTGCGATTGAAGCGCAGGCGATATGAGCACCAAGTCCAAGAACACATATTCGAGCACTCTTGTTTAAGTTAGTGCTTTGCTGACCTTAGGGTTTAGGGTCTCGGGGCTGAGGGTTTTGAGATTGGGTGATTTCAGGGCTAGTGCACGAAGCTTCCCCTGTGTGAATCTGTTGCCGCACACACTCCCCAGTGTTAAAATCCCCTGTTCTCACAGTATCTCACGGTCAGGGATTTCCGTTTCCATGGAGCCAGATAGAAAGAGGGGGAGAGAGACAGGCGGCACAACCGCAAGACGCAGCAGCAGCAGCAGGCCGGGTTGCAACCGTGGAGACTTGGCTTGCCGCATTGGGGCTCGATTCTGTGATGTGGCAATGGCATCACACACACAAAACAAGAGTGTCCAGCCTAATTCCACTAATTTCAGGCCAACTTCAATCCTCAAGGCCTCACCCTTCCTTCGAACGGCCTGCAGTGTCCCTCCACACTTTTGGACATGGGATTCTAAAGCGATCTCGCTGTTTCTACCTGCAGGGCAACCTGCAGAAGCTGCGCCGGAAGCAGCGCCAGCCGACGCTGCTGCAGCCCCCCCTGGCAACACGTTCAGTGCGCGCTTTTGTGCCCTTTACTCGCAAGCTGCAGGCACAAAGGCCACTCCATCGACGGCGGCTCTCACTTCTCTTCAAGGCCACAAGAGCCGACCCGTCGCCGACAAGCTATGCCGAAGTTTTGGACAGGTTGGTATGGTCATGATTCTTCTGGAGGTTAGGACGGGATGGTACTTCTTGTATATTCTGCTTGCTACTTGACTGTGAACCTAAGCCGGTAGTGCTGTACAGCTCCGCAGCTGTAAGTGTCGTGACGTCGATGCCACCTGAGGCACTCGTCTACCTAGGCCAGAGATCCCTTTTGTGGGGCCTGAACAAAAGCCGATCAGATCTTGGGCAGGTGGAATGTTCGACTCGTGGATAGAGTGGTTCCAGAACTTGGCAAATGCTCAAGCATGGCGCTCAGAGTGAAGCAAAGGCCGACGGTGCCAGCCCTTGTTTTCTTGCGCTTGCTGAGCTGAGCCGAGCAGGTCACGCTCGAGCACCAGCTGAATGCTCTGCGCAGGGAGCAGCAGGCGCTGTTGAGATCGCTTGAGACTCGCAGAACAGCACAGAAGCCATCCGCTAGTCGCGAGGCAGCCAACGAAGCTGCAGCCGGCGAACCCGCAGAAGCTGCTGGCGAGTCGTCCGAAGGCTATGGCAGCACTTCGTTGGAACGTTTTCGAAACGCCCTTGGCCAAGGCAGGCCACAGCCTTCCGAGGCCGACTCGAGCAATGGACACAGGCAGCCCTCGGGAGGTTATCCCGCGGCATCCCCGGCCATTGCACTGCGAGGCAAGCGGAAGGTGAAGCTCCACGGGCCCACGATGATGACAACACCGCACCGGATGCTCATCCCCTGGCCTTGGGCCTCAAATCCCCCCCCAAAGCCCAAAGCTAAGGCACCAGCAGATGCACCTGCGGCACCTGCAGCACCGCAGCCGCGGCACGCCCGGATACGAACCAAAGTGTAGATGCTTGTGCCAACACAAGTACAAGGCCCTATTGGCAGAGATTTATCTACCAACTCTTCGCCGCAGACCCAGCTTGATCTTTGTCTTTGTCTGTCTTCGTCGCGTTGTAGTCACTTCTCCAAGTCTTCCCGCAGTCCATGAGGTCATGTTCTTTCTCACCCTCCTTCCCTGGTGGAACCCAAACCCGCGGCAAGCATCCCAGCAAAGTTCATGGGCAGATTTTAGGAGTTTAGGGTTTAAGGTTTAGGGCCTCGCAGTGCTTGGGCCACGAAGCCTAAGGTTCTTGTGAGGACGCCAGTTTCACCAGCACAGCAACAAAAGAAAAAGCAGGCATCGTCTCCTCCTGGAAGGAGCAAGGGCTGCTTTGATTGCAGGTTTGTTAATGCCTGTTTTTTTTCCGGAAGTGCGTCCGGCCAGCTAACTGGCTCGAGCTGCAAAGCAGTTGTTGAGCCATCTGTTGCATTATCGATAAATAGCTGAGCAGTAACTGAAGCTGTGAGGAGCTTTTCATTCCGTCATCGCATCAACAACTGAAGGAGATCAGGTCACTCAACGGTGTTTTGACTGTGCTGTGCCCATAGATGACAATTCATGTCGCCAGCTCGGGAGAGCGCAAGCGGTCAGCATCGCAGGCTTCAGCTTCCCAAGCTTCGATTTGTTTGGTTCTGTGAAACATACCTGACGTTCAGTCCCTTTCAGAGCCAACCGAGTTGAACTCGCCGTATAGTTGCCTGTCTTAGCACAATGATGTCTTGCAGAGTTGAGACGATTGCAACCGTAGGCGCCTTGTGCTCAATATCAACAAGTCCGCTACTTTTCCGCTAACGTGACTCCAGTAACCTGCCTTTTGCTTCAAAGGTCCGCTTCGTGAGTGAGAGTATTTTGCCACAACAATCTCAACTGCTTTGGCATGGACACTGCTGCGAGCAAGCAGCCCCCCGACCGGGGAACATTGCTCACTCGGCAAGGGGGCCTCCGGGAGGGTATGATCATCGCAAGCTCTTTGATCGGGGGAGGTGCCCTGCCGACACGGAACTCGTCTCACTCAAGGCCAGGGGCCAGCGTACGACCTGAGCAATTGGGCTGACAAACAGCTCGGCTGCGCGCTTGTGGGGGGGAGCCCAAAGGCCGACCTCCTTAGGGCCGCCAGCAAGCAAGCAAGCAAGCAAGCAAGCAAGCAAGCAAGCAAGCAAGCAAGCAAGCAAGCAAGCAAGAGAAAGAGAGAGAGAGAGAAGAGTGTTTTTTGCCAGAGCAGTGTTCCAGTGGCAGTGCGAAGGGAACTAGGGGGGTACTGCAAGCTCTGTTGTCATGTTGTAGCCGGGGGAAACAAAAGTGCAGCACAGCCACGGTCTGGTAGCAACAAGCTGCGAGACGGAGAACAGAGCCGGCAACGCAGAGATGAGGCCGGGGGGACACATAACTAGGTAAAGGGGGTGCAAGAGTTCACATCCGCGGCCTCATCTCGTAGCGGGGTTACTGACAGACCTGGAAGACCAGTGCGCGTGCGCGCGCGGGGAGGGCTTGCCCTCCTTTGGCTGTGCAGAAGAAGAAGAAGAGTGTGTGTGTGTGTGAGAGTGTGAGTGAGTGAATGTATCTCTGTGTATGCGCTCATCATGTTCTTGGGGCGTGTACTGTACATGAGTGCATATGCTGGAGGCATCTGCCCGCGGGCGAGAAGGCGCTGCTCTTCCCAACCTGCTTGGCGTGCGGCCACGCAGCTCCGCCGCTGGCAGCCACAGGGTGGTCGCATGTCACTTGAAGCGGTCGATATTGGCGGATGATCCTTGTGCAGGCACAGATTCTGCAAGCACTTCACGGGCCTCCTGGTCCAGAGCGACCGCGGGGAGACTCAGATGCGACAAGGGGCTCCGCGCCGTCGTGGCATGTCTGCAGGCTTGGAGCCCCTGGAGCCCGACCGTTTCATTCCGAAGCTGTGACTCAAAAGCCAGTTCCCCCGCCCCACGTTGCGGGCTTGCCGGCTGCAGGACTCTCAGGTGCTGCCAAGATTCCGAAACGTTGCTGGTGCTGTGCGTGCTCAAGCTGCTCAGGTGCTGTTCCTCGACGTCGATGGGGCCCAGATCTCTGCAAATTTACAGCGTTGCAGCAGCCGGCTTCCTGCGGAATCCCGTGCGAGGTGCTTCACCCCGTCCAGGCTCCTGAAAATTCTACGCGCGCGTTGCCCGGAATATGTCGCTACAGCACGCTACAGCTTGCAGGCACGCCATCCGCGGCAGCAGTTCGTCAACGGCTGCCTAGCGAAAGCCTCAGTCTTTGTACATCCCCTGGTCTCGCCAAGTCTAAGTGCTGGGGAGGCTCTTGTGGCTGACGTCGTCAAGGCAACTGGAGCTGCGATTTGTTTGTCCACGGCCTGGAGATTGGTGCGCCCCCCAATCAGGGAACCAGGGTAACGCGAAAAGTGTGCAGATGTTCTGCTTTGCCATTCGGGAGGATCCTCAAGCTCGCAAGTTCGTGGAGGTGCCCTGTAAATTTCTGATTTTCCGATTGCCGACTGAGCAAGAATCGCTGCGGAAGTGCAGCTTGAGTGCCCATATTAATTATGTTGGCTGGGCGAGGGCAAGCTGCAAGACTTTGGGCCCAACGCTTGGCATGTCTGCAAGCATGTTGCTGTATCACGACGTGTCAACTGCGTCTGAGGCTGGGGCCCCCAGTCGGGCGCACGCCGAACCTAGCGCAGTTCCATCGCAGTCGGGAAATCCTCGCCTGGGACAAGCACTCAGATCACTCCGTAGTTTCCATGCTCCCTTCTTGTGTTTGCTGCTGACGTCCAACAAGACCGATGCGGCGAAGATGCTTCTTTGTTGCCGCCTTTCCATGTTTAAGGTCCATAAGTTCAAGCCAGCCACCTGGGTTGCTTTGGACGACTGGCCACTCATCGAGGACAGCCTTCAAAGTAATATGTCATCCCTTGCAATCTGCAGAAACCTGCTGAAGAAGCCTTGGGACACGGGACAGGAGGAGCCCAAGATGCAGGGGCACTTCGTCCAGTCCCGGCCACGCTATGGGCTTCAGCCATGCCCCTGGCATTCTCTGCCGAAGCATCCATCCGCCAAGATCGAAGTACTCGGCGCCTGAAGGCCAGATACTGCTCAAAAAGTAGTTGAACTCTTCAAGTTGCAACAGCCCCATGCTCAGCTTCTTGCAGCCAGTTGGAGATGTCTCAGCTGGCTCTGCCAGCGATCCAGGCAACATATCAAATGCCAGCCGCTGGCAAGAGGCTGACGGCCAAAAGCTAGCTCTAGGTCCCCGTCTTTTCCGGAGATGGACTTCTGGCAGATTATGAGGACATGTGCATGTTCCACCAGTAGTACTCAACGATATGAGGAAAAGATGTGCGACCCTTGGCTGCCCGGGTAGCCAGTTCCGTTTCACACTGCCTTGCATCAATTTTATAGGCGCTGTTGCTGCCACGGCGTCAACGAGTTGACACTAGATTCGGAGAAGACACCGAGCTTGGCTCGTGTCCTGTCTGCACCTCTGAATCCCTCACGAGTGGGATTGTTCGGCCTTTGGCCACGTCGAGTTGGCTTCGTTTAGTAGCAGGCACATACCATTTATCAAGCACTGCACTGCAACCAGTTGATAGAATAGCTGGCCACAAAATCAGAAGAGCTCACGCATCGTTCATCAATTGCTTGAGCCGGGAATTTCCAGTGCCGTTGATTTGCCCATATTTTATGGTCAATAATTAATTCCAGTATAAATAAATAAATATTATATATATATATATATAAGCATTGATCTAAAGGTCCTTGTGTGGGGATT